CATGCCTTTCTCCTCGGCGATGAGGGAGGTCAGGTCCAGCGGGAAGCCGTAGGTGTCGTACAGCAGCCACGCCGTGTCACCTGCGCAGAGCGGGTTAAAAAGATGAAGACGAAGCAGTGGTGCTCAAAGACCCGTCGAGTCAAACAGCAAAGGGTACAGATACGGTCTGCAAACTACATATTCCAACACCGCTCTCACCCGGGATGGTCTTGTTGTCCCCCAGACTAACGATCTTTCTATCCAAGATACGGCGTCCCCTGCTGAGCGTTTTGAGGAACTGCTCCTCCTCCTCATTGATGACCTCCTTCACCATTTCTGGGTCTTTCTTCAGCTCGGGGAAGGCATTGCCCTGGAGAAACAAAGAGGGAGAGACATGAGGGACATTGCAGAGAGCGGCGGCGCGATCGCCTCGGCCCTGACAAACGTCCCACCGTTGCGTGCAGAAATCTCACCAAGGAAGCGACCACCACGTCCACCAGGGTGGCAAAAAAGCCCCTCTGAGCGCCCAGCTTCTCGTGAGAGTAACGGACGGCGCGGCGCAGAATCCTCCGCAACACGTAGCTAAACGCCGGCGGGAGCAGACAGACACGCAGTGGGTTTTTTTGTTGTTTACCGCAAAGCCACGACACATAAAGCTAACGCGTGATCGCGGGTCACTCTCACCCTCTTCCCGTGTTGTCGGGTCGGCCGCCGTCCGATAGGGCGATGGTGATGGTGCGGGCGTGGTCGGCCAGCACGCGGTACGCCATGTCGATGCCGTCAGAGTCCTCGGCGCCTACTTTACCGGTGTACGCTCGGGCGCCCGTACCCTGAAACCAAACACAAGAAATCTAAAAATCCGTCCGGCAGAAATCGATCGGTTGGCGCGGTGATGATGATTTTTTTTGGGGGGGTCAGGGTAAACATTAGTACGTTTACACATTAGTACCACCCCTTGTAAACTGTTTAAAGTGTGCAGGATGTCTGTAGAAGGAGCGACATTTCAAAGTGACGGTATTTAAGAATGAGCCTGAATTACTGGACAGGCGCTCTATGGGAAGACCGACATGCAAGACGGTTCTGGACTTTCAATCATCGTGTGCGCTGCAGTACCTTCTGAATGGCTTCAAAGTACGGGACGAAGAGGTCCGTGTCATAGTTGGACATCTTGTTTTGCAGTACGGACACCAGGCGCTCCAGGCCCATCCCGGTGTCGATGCTTTTCTTAGGCAGCAGCTTCAGCTCAGTTGCAGACTCTCTAAAAAAAAAAAAACACAGATTCACTGAGAAAGCCCATTTGACCAGGCGGCTTCATGGTGGGAGCACACGGGATCACACGCCGTTATAAAGTTCACGTCATACTTATTATTATTTTGGATAAGAGTTCCCTTTTTACGGCAAAGTGGTCTGATTTATTCATTTATAAAACCAGATCTTTTCTTTTTTAAAGAATGTTTTTACTGCACATGCAATAGAGTCACTGAGATGCTGAGTGCACATGGTTCGGTAGTTGCACTGCATATTGTGCAAAACAGATGACAATTAAAAAAGAAAAAGGTGCGTCCAAATTCCAACAACACCCGATCTAAATACATGCTTGGGTTTGGTGTGCTGCTGTCACAAAGCTTCCCGATCGGTCGAATGCTCTCTCAATACAACCGACTGAACTGGTCGACAGGCGAGTGGCGCAGGACAGAAAGTGCAAACAAATCCAAGGAGCCGTTCAACGGGTCGCATCACGACCACCTGTGTATTTTAAAGCAGCTGTGAAGTGATCTCCGGTGTCAACAAATGAACTAGTTTGACCGGAAAAACAACGCCGCCTGAAAAGTGAGCTTGAACACGAAGGGCTCGCGACAATAACAAAACAAAAAAAAAGGGTTTTGCACACAAATGGCTCAGAAGGAAAGTTCTCGTTGAGCGACTCGTTTTAACCCAATGACAAACATGGCGGATATAGAGAGGCGTATTTTGAATATAGTCATTACTCTGTCCTTTCCAATATTGTTCTCAAAACTCTGAGCATGTCAAAAAGTATCGCAATCAGTGAACAAAATGTGAGAAAGAGCGCTCATCAGAATATCTGGGAAGCTTTCAATGCCGAGTGTGTGTGTTACCTGTTGAACTGGATGAACACCAGGTTCCAGATCTCCAAGACATTGGGATCGTCCATGTTCACCAGGTGAGAGGCGTCCCTCCCTCCGATGCGGTCAAAGTGGATCTCACTGCAGGGGCCGCAGGGCCCGGTGTCCCCCATCTCCCAGAAGTTATCCTTCATGCTGCCTGGCAGGATGCGAGCCTCGTCCACCCTGAGGGGAACACAGAGACCGGAGAGAGAGGGGTTCAATCAAACCGCAGCCGGGCAGCTGGTGGAAACACGGTTGTTGGGACAATTAGGAGCCGTAAAAGCTAATGAAGTGTTTTCTTTTCCTGCGCTTGAATAAGTTATTTGACGTATAAAATAACGTGACACTGATACTTCTCGACGTTCGTGAAATGTCCAAATATTAACATTCTATGACACGGATGTCACGGAATGAGAAAAGATAGAAGGCGGGCTCACCCCAGGTCCATCCATAGCTGTTTGCACTCCAGGTCCGGCTCCAGGTCCGCATCAGAGTTACCGCCGAAGTAGGTGACGTACAGGCGCTCTATGGGGATACCAAACTCCTGGGTCAGCAGCTCCAAGGCCATCTTGCAGGCCAGTTGCTGCAGGGAGGAGGTGGGAAGACGCAAAATGAGCAGAGAGAAGCGTTAAAAAGAAAGTAACACTTGTTTAGAGGCCACTGTGAGGTAAAAAATAAAATAAAAAGATTGATTTGATTATCTTAAATTGTGAATAGGGACTACATCAATAATAATAATCATCATAATAATAACAACGATGACAGTAATTCGTCCCCACCCCACCTTGAAGTAGTCCCCAAAGGACCAGGACCCCAGCATCTCGAAGAAGGTGTGGTGGTAGACGTCTTTGCCCACATCGTCCAGGTCATTGTGTTTGCCTCCTGCACGGATACACTTTTGTGTGTTGGCGGCGCGGGACAGCCTGGCCATGGGGTGAGACGGGTCGATGGTGTTCAAGAAGATGGGCTTGAACTACGATGCAGCAGAACAAAATTGAATAGGCGGTTATTGCTTTAAGAATCTTTAAAAAAAAAAAAAGTACATAAAAGGTGACGTCGTGCGCACAGATGTCATGGGGTGGATGTAGAGAGACGGGTGGGGTACCTGGTTCATGCCGGCGTTGGCAAAAAGCAGCGTGGGGTCGTCCAGCGGGATGGTGGAGGACGAGTGGACGTACACGTGCTCATAGCGACGGAAGAAGTCGATGAACTTCTCGCGGATTTGAGCTGCACTCAAAGAGGAGTCCATTCTGAATCAGCTGTCTGAAGAATAATAAACAAAACGGAAACGCTGTTTAATTCGGCTCCAAGACCCTCGTTGTGGGTCCTGAATTTGATCCACTCATATACTCTTATGTAAAATAAGAGTAAGCCAAACATGTCATTGGAAGCAGTTTGGACATTCAGTCTAGGCTCATAGTTCGATATACAGTATATACCATGATAGCTTTCCTTTCAATTCCTCTAGTTGTGTTTGGTCAGAGCAGAGAGGGATTTTTTGGGGGGGGGATTTCAATCCAAAATGCACCAGCACCTAAACAAAAGCTTTTGAGGTTTGATTGCCTGCAGGGCAGGATTATGAGTGTTGTTTAAGCTTCTGTTTACCATTTAACAGGAAGTTCAGTGGTTTGGGCAAATATATTTGTCCCTGCAGCAAAATTAATTGTAGAACGTACAAAATGCATGAATGGTTTGAAGGAACGGAACTTAATTTGAACATGTTTTGGTTCTATAACAAAGCACCATAACTACAGAAACCCCGAAGGGCGACGAGAGCAAGTGGAGGCCTCAGGGTGATGGGATGGAAACTTTGGCACCTGTGAAGAAACACAGGCCCTATGCTGTCATATATATATATATATATATATATAAAAGACAGGACAATAACTGCCAACAGGTAACCAGGGGTTTGTTGGTTTGGTTCGTGTGATCACGTGACTGCTTCTCACAGACACAGTAAACGAGTAAAATGGGTTTTACGCGCACGACATCTCGGGAGGGTTCGTTTCCTTTCCAGCTGCTGACTAAAATGAAGTGCTCCCATGTCACCTTTGCGCCTCCGCTGTAAACAACCGTTTCCACAGAATACTGCGAGTCTTGCCACATAATCCCTGTAAAAAGACAAAGTGCTTGAAGATTACCATTGAAATCAGCGGAGTTGGGCAGGAGGCGAACTAGCTTGACAGACTGACGTTAGCAATTTAAACGGTAGCCACACCGGCTACCATTTAAACCGACCCCGAGAGAGAGACCTCAGGCCCCAAATCTCACACCGAATCTTCTTCAGAGGACGGAACAGCACATTGTTTTACATCTCAACAGCACCGCAGCAAAGCGTGATACTTACAGAGGTCGCAATTCTCGTAGAATGATTCGGTTACTGCTCCAGACACACGGCTTTAGTCCACGCTGCTCGACCAAGAGAGAAGCGCAGTCAGTGGACACGCCTCTGACGGTCGGCCATTGGTCCTGCCGCACCACTGGTTGGCGGATCTACATTTCTATTGGACAAGCCGGCTATCAATCTAAGCCGATCCCGCCGCATGAATGGTACAAACTTCTTTGGTCTGGCTGATGCAATGAAATAGACGTCGGTGTAAATGAAGGTAAAAATGTATATATATATTTAATCCGCTTAATTAAAAAAAAGAAAATGTAATGCATATGTTTGTGAATAAAATATTCACTTTAAATGTGAATACGGTTAGTTATAGGCTCAGGTCGTCAGTTTGTGTGTTTAAATTTGCCTAGGGACGTATAAATAATGATGTAGTAATTTTATGATTTTATAATTTTGTGACAGATGATGAAACACAATGGGTTGGTTCTGCGGGCGCCCGTCATGTATTTCTATCCCTGAGGTGAGTTCCCTCCGCTGCCAAGCAACAGCGGAATCTTTATTCAGCTCGCTGTGTTTCCCGGGGACCGGTTTTCTGTCGGACTCGTTCACCCGCTGCTTCTTTCGTGCCACAAACACCCATGCGCCATGCCGACTGACAACAAACGTGTGCAGGGCCCAGAAGTGTCCCAATGCCCGTCTCTGTTTTCTAGCAAACCAGCGGCCTCTCTCCCCTCGAAAGGCCCGAGAGCGGACGGTCGGCAGCGGGACCAAGTGGACGTCCGGCCGGTCTTTGTCCGCTGCGGGCTGGTGAGTCAGGCCAAAGGCTCCGCGTACATCGAGGCTGGAAGCACCAAGCTGATGTGCTGCGTTTACGGCCCCAGAGAAATCGAGCGGAAAGATGAGACCGACATGACATGTGGACGGTGTGTATTCGTGTCCGATCTGTCAATGTATTTAAATGTTAGTTGTTTCATTGATCTGTGACACAGTGAGACATCCTGCCCCAGTCGTTTGCGTGACCAGCAGTGTGTTAAGCTGATTGTTAACGCGAGCTTATGAACCTCAGCTCGACAGACTGTTTATTCAAACCAAGTTGCATATTCGTGCTTACAGTGAGCGCGCTTATTTCTAACGTTAAAAAAAATAAAACCGACTAAACACCATTTTTGATTACGTTACATGTCATTTACCTGACGTTTTTATCCAAAGCACTTACAATAAGTGCATTCAACCAAACTCAAAAGAGCAAGAAAAAAAGAAAGTGCAATTTCATCAAATAAGCCAATTAACAAATTGCACAAGTGGCATTATAAGTACAATATAAGTGCTACAATTTGTTAGTCTTTTAGTCGAGGTAGAGTCTGAAGAGGTGTGTCCTTAGTTTGTGACCTGGTGTCTTCAGAGAGCTCGTTCCACCATTTAGGAGCCACGAGAGCAAAGAGTCGAGATCTAGTCGAGTGTTTTGCTCTCAGTGAGGGAGGGACGAGCAGTTTGGCAGATGCAGAGCGGAGTGAGCGGGTCGGGATGTCGGGTTTGGCCATGTCCCGGATGCAGATAAATCATGCACGACTTTAGCCAGGTTTGACCTCCACCATCCGCATCCATACCTGCATATTTATATTGTATTGGAAGTGAACGCGGCCGTATGTGATGCAGTCCTGCAGGAACAGTTCACAAAGACGACAACGCTGCATTTTTTGTAACACTTTTTTTTTGTGCATCCAGGTTGGTTACTGACATGCGTTTCGCTCCGTTCTCCTGTCTGGAGAGGGGAGCCTGGATTCAGGGGAGCCAGGAAAAGGACCTCTCCCTGATGCTGCAGGAGAGCCTGCAGCCCGCCGTGCGGCTCAACAAATATCCCCGCTCTCAGATCGAGGTCAACGTGATGGTCCTCGAGAGCAGCGGCTCCGTCCTGGCCCACGCGGTCACGTGCGCCTCGCTCGCTCTGGCAGATGCCGGGATCGAAATGTACGACCTGGTCCTCGGTTGTTCCGTGCGGCAGGATGGCGCCTCGTACGTGGTCGACCCTTCTCGCGCCGAGGAAAGCAGGCGCAGCTCGGTCGGCAGAGAGAACGAGGGCGGCCTGACCATAGCGTTCCTGCCGAGCCTGAACCAGATTTCTGGGCTGGAGTCGGATGGAGAAATGACGGAAGAGACCCTGACAGCCGCGGTGCGGACCTGCATTGAGGGATGCTATAAACTGTACCCGGTCGTCCAGCAAGCCCTGTGCAAGGCCGTTCGGCGGGCTGCGCCCCCCCCGTCAGAGAGCTGACGGGGGGGCGAAATCAGTTCGTCGCTTTTCTACTTCATAATTTCCCGCCGTTACATTGACAAAATAACCAACATGTTGGTATGTTTGATGTTATGTTCTTGACGTGGAAATGATGAAGATGGTATTTTCTATTAAATATATTACGGCACTTATGTTGTGTGTTTTGTATTCTCGAGTAATATACGTGTTATACGTGTGAGTCTTTTACTAAATTTGACCCATTTCTATAAGCAATCGCCCAAAATGAATGATCTAGTTGAGCAGGTCACCGAGTTAAAGCCCTGCCTCTGTCCTCAATCACAACCTGGTTAAATATCTGTGAACTGATCCACAAAAATGTATACGTGAACGTATGTACATTAATGAATTGAAAATACTATCAAAGATCATTTTAAAGTAAGGGAGGAAAACGACTTCATGGTCAACATCTTTCCTCCATCCCACGAAATGCTAATTCGCCTGAACAAACGGTGCAAAATTTAATCTGGGGCACAACCAGGGAAGTGACAAAAAGAGAACTCTCGTTTGAATGCAGAGAACGCGGCGGGTAGAAGACGTCTGCAAACATCCTCAGGAAGGCTCTTTGGTGGAAGATCTCCCCCCGTGGAGGAAAACGAGGGGGGAGACAAAGTCATATTACTACTCAATGGCATCACTTAAAGACCGGAAGGGCTCACAGAGTAGAAGTATTTATGGGAAGTACGACATGGAGGATTAATTTAATATTAATCCTAAAATGTATTGTGACAAAGGTGAAACCACAGCAGCTTCTGCTCGTGGTACCAGGCTCAGTTGGTCCGGTCTGCGTTCTGAGGCCTTGAATCGGACCTTAGTGAATAATGAATGGTCTGTTGAATGAGAAGATGTCCAATATCAAGAACCTTCAACTTGGTCAAATTCCTTGTTGCTGAAAGAGGAGAACTTATTGGGAAGGTATATTTGACAACGTGATAACATCCAGGGCATCACCAAGCCCGCCATCCGCCGTCTGGCTCGCCGCGGTGGAGTGAAACGCATCTCCGGTCTGATCTACGAGGAGACCCGCGGTGTGCTGAAGGTCTTCCTGGAGAACGTGATCCGCGATGCCGTCACCTACACCGAGCACGCCAAGAGGAAGACGGTGACCGCCATGGATGTGGTCTATGCCCTGAAGAGACAGGGACGCACCCTGTACGGCTTCGTGGGATAAACCCCGACTCCGGTTACCAAAACGCAAAAGGGAATTCGTAGCAAACATCTAGATGCAACTTCGCATCTGTGCAAACTTCATTCATCAGCGCACAATTCAGCATTACAATAACAGTGTTATTGTAAGTAGAAGACATGTCCAGTGATCAGCTCTGATAGCGCGTATGGATGAACTGCACCTTAAGCCTCCACCAGCATCAGTGTGTTTGCTGCTCCCAGAATAATACCAGTTTATTAAAAACGGATCAACATCTGATGGTTGATTTTACATTGAGACCCTGAATAAACATGTGGATAGTTTGGAAAACGACTTTTGGGTGGAGATGTGATGTAATTTAAATACTTTTAAGAGAGAAATGAGTGGGAAAAGCCGCTGATCACTGCTGTCCACGGCGCTGAGTAGGTGAGGTTTGGAGGCTCCTCAAACAAAACGCATCGATCATCAGAGCTCTACGTGACCTGAACACGAAGAGAAACTAGTCCGCTATCGGCTCCTCCACCTTCAGCCTCCAGCACCTGATGCCCATTTAGTTTTTAGTGCTTAATCAGGTGGAGAAGAAAACATCAAGTGACTCGACTTTCAGAACTCCACGAGGGAGCTCCGGGCTGGGTTGAGTCTCTACGGTTCTCATGGTGCGTTTAAGTGCAGTCCGGCTGCTTTGAGCTCTTCATCAGTCTCACTCTCTCGAGTCCTCGACGACACAAACGCACAACAACGGGACAACATGGCAGAAGTAGCTCCAGCTCCAGCCGCCGCCGCGCCCAAAGCAGCCAAGAAGAAGGTGTCCAAGCCAAAGAAGGTTGGTCCCAGCGTCTCTGACCTCTTCGTGAAAACTGAGGCCGCGTCCAAGGAGCGGAGCGGCGTGTCTGCTGCCGCCGTCAAGAAGGCTCTGACCGCCGGAGGATACGATGTGGACAAGAACAAGGCCCGCGTCAAGACCCCCATCAAGAGCCTGGTGGCCAAGGGGACTCTGGTCCAGGTCAAGGGGATCGGGGCCTCCGGCTCCTTCAAGATGAGCAAGACCACCGCCGAAAAACCGGCAAAGAAAGCCGCTCCTAAAGCCAAGAAGCCCGCAGCGAAGAAACCCGCAGCGGCTAAAAAGCCCAAAGCAGCGGCAGTGAAGAAAGTTGTAGCCGCTAAGAAGTCACCGAAGAAGGCCAAGAAACCCGCAGCGGCCAAGAAGGTGACCAAGAGCCCCAAGAAGGTAGCAAAGAGCCCCAAAAAGGTGGCCAAGAGCCCCAAGAAGGTGGTGAAAAAGGCCCCTGCAGCCAAGAAAACTCCAGTGAAGAAGGTTGCTAAGCCCAAAGCCAAGAAAGCAGCACCCAAGAAGAAGTAAACTGACCTCAGTCTGAAGAACCAACACCTCTATAAAAGGCTCTTTTAAGAGCCACCCAACCCTTCCTCAAAGAGCTTTTCCTTCATTATTCAGCTGTTGAAAATATAGCTGGGATTAATCACTATTGTAGCTGAATAACATTTTCGGTGAATAGAAAAATGTCAACGTTCTAACTCAAGGGAAAAGTTGAGTCTGAAATCATCAGAACCTGATAAATGTGCATGAAAATACATGTATATTAGAACAGTAGATGTATTTTTAGCGTCCTAGAAATGATCAATTGTTTACTGTGATCAATCAGAATTCATTCAATTCCAACAACTGAACTAGTATGAGCATCTAAAGATATTTATCAACCAGAGGGCAACTTAGACACTGCTAAAGACAGTGGAAAATGCATGAAATACAAAACGGGAACAAGGAATCAATCTTGTCATTTAGATTTGTTGCCATTAATACTCATTGCCTGCATATATTACTCCTATTACTATATTATTTCAGATAACGTCACCTTTTAAAACTGATAAACAGGTATTATAAATCAGGAAATAGTCTTGAGAAGTGGGTGGCTCTTAAAAAACCTTTGGGCTTATAGATTACCTAGAAATATGGACACGGCTTTCACACTGGGTGGATCAGGCATGATTCCAAGCCAATTATTTATATATATATATATATATATATATATATATATATAATATATATATATATATATATATATATATATAATTAACTAGATGCAAATAGCACTGTGCTGTTGCTCATACAGGATTGGTTGTCGTGAGACTGATACTGCGCATGCTTATAGAGACAGAATTACGATGGTTAAAAGTTTAAAAGATTTTTCAGCAAAACTATAAACACATTGACATCTAAAAACACATTCTGCACTGTAAATGCACATGTCATGCATACTGGTGAACACAAGTGGCAACAATCAGATTGTTGATTAAACGCAATCACTCAAAATTGATTTCATTTGTATCAAATGATGTGACACATTCAATATAAGCCAATTCAGAGAGCAAACAGGTGGTTGAAGGTGGGAAGGAGAAAGTCTGAGAATGAATAGAAGAAACAATGTACGAGGAGGAGGGCAAGAAAGAGTGGAAACATTTGATCAAGCAACAGTCATAGACCATGTTATTAGTCCACACACTGACAATGAGGGAAACAAGACATCGAGTGCACCCCAATTTGAGCCGATTTTCTGGGTCCACCATAGTAAGGACATTCAGAGAAGATAACGGTTACACTATAATACTGTGTTTTTGTAACAGCAAATTTACTGTACTACACTATGCAGCTTTTTCAATAGACATTTGTAGTTCATCACTGTATGTATTGTACTGCATGAATATTTTTTGTAGAACTGCAAGGCTGCAGCATGCAGGTAGAAGGAGAGCCTGTTATAGTGGGCATGGTTCTTCAAGATAATTTAATACGATATATATATATATATATATATATATATATATATATATATATATATATATATATATATATATATATATAAATAATAATATTTTTTAAACTTTTTAAATATTTTTAATTTTTAACTTTAACTTTATTCTCTTACTTTAAACTAACGCATAGCCTTATTCTACTAACCCATAGCATTAGCATTTAATTTTATTTTATTACTTGTCTTGTTGTCTATTGTTTTACTGTCTACTTTCACGCATCAAACGGCAAGTCAAATTCCTTGTATGCAGTGCTGTAGTGGTAAAATTAGAGGTGGGTAAACTCCGAATTTAGTGATCATACAGACCTCGACGCGATGCGAAGCAACGCAACACAAAGCGTCGCGACTCTGCAAGGCTGTCCTGGCTATATTGCATTATGTTATCAGTAAAAGTCATATACAATCAATGACAATGAATAAATGTGTTAGTAGTTTATTAAATTTCAGAAAACAGTAAAGAAAAGTATGTCAACACAACACAGCAAGACAATTGCAGATTAAGAACTATGTACATACGGAGTCTCCTTTTTACAGTAGTGCCCAGAGGGCCTCCTTGTCCTCCACGTCCGGTCCTGCCTTGCACAGAGGAGCCATGAACCCCAGAACACGCGTTCTGGGGTTCATGGCTCCTCTGTGCTTCTCTCTCTATTGGACCTGGTGTTTCTCCTCTCCCTGTGCTCTCTGCATCATTGCCTGTCCTCTCACTGCCTGAAAAAATATGTTGAATTTAAGAGTTAACCAGTTAAGCAGCCTGTCAATTACACTGACAACATAAGTTAAAGGAACACTCATGTACTACCTACGTCATCATAAATAGCCTACAGCATGTTTTGTTTTCACATTGAGAACTGACTTGTTTTCTAACGCTTACAGGCTACTCTACACCTTTCATGACTTAAAATAATTGATTAAGCATATAGGCCTATTCAGTGAAGCAACAGCTATGCTCCCCGCTCATGATGACAGGGGAGGCAGAGCCTTTGAACATTGACTGGATTTTCTCCTAATTAGGTGCGCGCGTCACCAGGCGTTTTTCTTGTCCTTTGACCGTGCACGCCCAGCAAACACAGAGCACGACTACTACCCCCCGTTGGTCGTTCCGCCCGCAACGACTACTACCCCCCCCCGTCGGACCTTCTCGACCGGTCCGCGAAATATTGTCTGACATGAAACCGGTCCGTGAGGTAAAAAAGGTTGGGGACCACTGGGCTGATCCGTGTGTTTACACACCTCCTGGATCCTGATTGGTGTCGCTGCTGCAGCCGCAAGGCACTGATTGGATGCTCACAGACCGTAATACAGCGCAGATGAACATGATTCAGACTACGGCGTTTATATGTTCAACAATAGGAAACGTACACCTTAGATGTTTTAAAATTACACCAAGTTTATTTCGGATTATTCCAACGGAAGAATACAAGGCGCAGGGAACTTTGAGGTGCGTAGACGCCACTTAGAGGTGCGTAAACGCTATTTATAGGTGCGTAAACGCTGTTTCCAAAATTCCAGAGGTGCGTAAACGGCGTTTACGTGCGTTTACCCTCCACTACAGCCCTGCTTGTATGTCTGACATATTTTGGCAATAAATATTTCCTGATTCCTGATTCCCACCTATGTGATAGTGTTGGACCGTGTCAGTTTCCACCGAGCTGCTCAGGTATGAGCATGGGAATGATTTATAATCAATGGTCAGTTTATGACCTTGTACCTCCCTCCATACTCTCCTTTCCAGAATGCGATTTAAAGAGTTTTTCTCCTCATGGAGATGGAAAGTGTATGATAGACAACCCTACTACACCAGAGTAGATTTGCTGCAAGCCATGGAATTAGCTGTCGATGTCGACGAAGTGCTCTGGCCTGACCCAGCCCAAAGACAAGAAGAAACCAATTGTATGTGTCTCAACATTGTGCTTTCGATTTATTACAGTACTGACTGCTAAATAGATTTTGACTGGTTGCAAGTTCATATCAACAAAGAACAAGAAGTACAGTATCACAGAGACAAAGGACACGTTTGTGAGATGCAGGGTACCGTAGTGTAAAAGTTGGGGTACAAGGAGGAGGAAGAACAAAAATTGCAACGCAGAGTAGTCGTTTCTGATCAATTTTGAGCGACTGTAATAGAACATTGTTCATTCGTCAAGACGGATAAATATGACATTTGTTTTGAGATTAAAAACCTACTTCTCCCTAAGAACTATGTTTTTAACAATGTGTTTTCTATTTATTGTTTACTGACTGCTTGATAGTGTATATTAATTTGATGACTTTGTTTATGATTTGAGAGCACTGTTTGGTTTTGAGCGCAGGTAAAACTGATTTGAGGCAGTTTCAGTTTGAAAGACGATTCAGAGGTTGTGTTTACAGTTTGGAGAAAATGGGTGACAATTTCAAGAAATTTGTCTTAGCAATTGAGATAAACTGTAAACCTACTTGTTAAAATGAATGCACAAGTGTTCCGATATGTGTAAAAAGCTCATTAAATGATTAATGGTCTTGAATATTGTTGATTATCTAACTGTCCGTTTAACTCCTGACTAATACTGATATTTATTTGTTGTTTTACGTGACAGGGTTGCACAATTAAATGTTGTAACAACGATCACGTGGTGGATAATAATTAGGTACATGTAAGTACCATCCATAGGCACGACACTGAGCTCCTCGTACTTTACATGAATATGTTTACATAATATGTACTTGCACTCACATAGAAGACAGTAAAGGAAGGGACCAAAAGCATAGAAGGAATAGTCATGAAGATGATTATTATGAAGTTAACCAGTATTAGGAGCTTCAAAATTATAGAGCCTCTTGTTCTTTAGCAAAGCAATAAAGGAGATCTTGAGATAAATGTCAGTTGGCTCCAGCACTCACTGATATTAATGGGGGACATTCATGACAACAATGTGGCACCTAATCAGAACCCTTTGAAGCACCTCATTGGTTACATGATTGCTTTGTGCAGTCAAACTGGTGCGTATATCACTGAAGGCTCCTGTTAAAGTCAGTAAGTCAGAAATCTTACCATTCATTTTTAATACCAACATTGCAGAAATGTGTAAAAGCACATTGAAGGATTCATCAGAGGGAGTCGGGCGGCTGAGGAGCGGTGACGCTGTTTCAGACCTCCGGCCCCTGATTGGTGGAGGACTCCTCCTGGAGCTCAGCCGTGCCTCTAGAAGCGAGTCTCCGCTGCTCATTGGTGGAAAATAATTTCAAACTGCCCGCTGAAAACGGTGAGCTCGCGCCCTCTGTCTTCGTGTCTGGAGCCTCTTCTCTGGTTGGTGCGCGCGTCAGGAACCGTCCCGCCCGCTCCGCGGACATATAAAGGAGGGTTTGACGCGTTCACAGACACTTCCTTCCCTGAAACAGTCTAACAATGAGCGGCAGAGGTAAAACCGGTGGAAAGGCCCGAGCGAAGGCAAAGACCCGCTCCTCTCGTGCTGGACTCCAGTTCCCAGTCGGTCGCGTCCACAGACATCTGCGCAAAGGGAACTATGCGCAGCGTGTCGGCGCAGGAGCCCCCGTCTACCTGGCGGCCGTGCTGGAGTACCTGACCGCTGAGATCCTGGAGCTGGCTGGAAATGCCGCCCGCGACAACAAGAAGACCCGCATCATCCCGCGTCACCTGCAGCTGGCTGTCCGCAACGACGAGGAGCTCAACAAGCTGCTGGGCGGAGTGACCATCGCTCAGGGCGGCGTGCTGCCCAACATCCAGGCGGTGCTGCTGCCCAAGAAGACCGAGAAGCCCGCCAAGAAGTAAAGCCGGAGACCTCCATCCACCACAAAGGCTCTTTTAAGAGCCACCCACTCACACGAAAAGAGCTGTGATCCTCATACTTTGTCTATTATGTGGTCCTACTTATTAAGGTTATCCTAATAAAGTCACACAACTTCATCATTACCTCACAACCTGTTAATGCATCACGTAGAAAGGACACTACTGCAGCTGCCTTGAAAACTTTATGGTTTTAAATCAGACACTTGAGGATGTAGATGATTTACTTTTCGAGAAAGGGAACAGGAAGACAAACCGGCAAGATTACAGAATGCAAAATAAGGATTTGACATTTTAAATGAGCCACAACTCATAACATTCCACCGGTCACTCCCCTTCACACTGCACATGTCACTTTAACTGTAATTTATCACTTTGTCGTCACTTTGTTACTTGTTCGCTATGCACTTTTTAAACTTTTTTTAATATTTTAAATTTTTAACTAACTTTATTCCATTGTTTTATACTAACCCATAGCCTTATTCTACTAACCCATTGCATTAGCATTTTACTTTACTTTATTACTTGTGCACTGCTGTCTTGTTGTCTATTGTCACACTGTCTACTGTCGCGCACCAACCGCCAAGACAAATTCCTTGTATGTTTGACATATTTTGGTAATAAATGTTTCCTGATTCCTGATTCAACATCTGACTTTACTGCCGTATGAATCAGACACCCGGCAGTTGATCACAAATTCTAAAGATATAATATTCCTTTAGAATTTAAGTTGATGGTAGCATGAGATGTGTAATATAAAGGTTTCAATAACCGGATGCTCTTTCGCAGGCTGTGACAATCAAAAACATGTTTTCTACTTTACGCAACATTTGGATGCTTTTGTATAATAAAGACCGAGTGTCTGACGAATAAGGTAGATGTATTATACAAGATTTCTTTGTAGAATAGTCTTGCTGAATAAAATTTAAACGTTTTAAAGGATAAAAGCTCTTTAAGGAAGTATTGAGCCTTTAATAGAGGTGTTGGTTCTTCAGACTGATATCAGCTCACTTCTTCTTGTCTGCTGCTCCACATAATTGAGGGAATGTTTTGCTATTTGTGCCTTATCTGCTCCATGTTGAAATAGCTTCACACTTCGTTGACAAACTATTTCCTGATGTGTTTATTTTTTTAAATGGAACAGTATTTATTGAAATGGTCATCATTCTTCTTAAATTACAATCCATTATGTATGTTTAATTGAAATGTACATTTTCTCCATTAAAAAACAAATGTTCAGTGATGATGGATGGGCCAAATTCTGGAGTCTGAGCAACATTTGGATGCTTTCGTATATCAAAGAACTGTAGGTGTTGTCTGTGAATTAGTAACATTTATCAGATTTCCTCATAAAATGTTCTTTAGAAGCTCATGTTGGCTGAAGATCACAAATCAGAAATTGTGGATTTCCCAATTTCCCATCAGCAGTTGTATAGTTCAATTAAATTGAGTAAATTAAAATAATTTTATGACATGATAAAATGAAGTCACATGTCTCAAGTTGTAAGCACAATAGTTCTTGTGCTATTCCTATAATGTGATATCAACAAAGTCGATCAAATGTCCTATTAACTAAGTTCAAATTCACCCGATGATTGATGTTAGGCTACCTTGATTCCTCACTCAAACGTTAATTTAAACTAGACGTCAGTCATCAGGATAATCTGAATCTGAATATAAACTATACATGTTTCACGGATCAGTGTGCTAAATGCCAAAAAGTCCTATTAAGGTGCCCTATAATATTTAGTTATGACTAAGAGAAATGCATTTGTCTCTATTCTGAATTAAAAAAAAGGTGTGTGTCACGTCTTTACACATCAGGAATTGAAGTGTGTGTATATGTAATTATCAACAGGGTGCCCTGTGATTGTGAATGGTTTGTGTGACCGTCATTAGATGATTTCAGTGCACACAATGATTCTTACAACATAATTCTCAACATGCAACTCTGTTGTGAAACGACAAATAAAAAACAATCTTGTGTTAAGTCAAGAGCATTTAAGTGATTCAATCCCAACAGAGAAATCCGCCTAGATGCGATGTTTGTGACACATGCGCAGTATCACACAGAAGGCAACCAATCACGCTCAAGCAACAGCACAGTGTACTTTGCATCTAGTTCATATATGAACACCGTGCTGTCGAAATTGAGGCATTCTCAGTTTACAGAGAAGTTTCCAATCATGCCGGAGGTTGTGAAAGCGCCCAAGAAGGGCTCCAAGAAAGCCGTCTCCAAGGCCGTCAGCAAGAGCGGCAAGAAGAAGAGGAAGACCAGGAAGGAGAGCTACGCCATCTACGTGTACAAGGTGATGAAGCAGGTGCACCCCGACACCGGCATCTCCTCCAAGGCCATGGGCATCATGAACTCGTTCGTGAGCGACATCTTTGAGCGCATCGCCGGTGAGGCCTCTCGCCTGGCTCACTACAACAAGCGCTCCACCATCACCTCCAGGGAGATCCAGACCGCTGTGCGCCTGCTGCTGCCCGGCGAGCTGGCCAAGCACGCTGTGTCTGAGGGAACCAAGGCCGTGACCAAGTACACCAGCTCCAAGTAAACCTGATGTAGACCACCAACACAAAGGCTCTTTTAAGAGCCGCCCACCTCTTCTAAAGACCTTTTCCTGATGCTTTTTCTCAATATTGAAATTAATAAAAAGTATCAAAAGCTTGTAATGGTGTTAAAACTATAATAATTGTAGGTTGCTCACAGATTCTAACTACTTTAAAACCGTAAGGGTTTTCATAAGCAATTGCCACCTAATTACAAACTCCTGTACCTCCTGTCTGATTCAATGCTTCTGGTTTGAGGTGTATTTATCGAGAACTCCGCTGCATATCTTCTGGGGCCTGTTTCAATAAGGAGGTTCAACCAACTCTGAGTTAAAACTTGAACTGTGAGTTGACTTACCCTGAGATGGGAAACTCTGAGTTTTCGGTTACAGAACAGCTGAAATGAGTTAGTTCAATCAACTCTGAGTTAAGCGCGTGCACTACAACTATAAAAAGCCATTATCAATGGAGCGCAGATATTACGAGTCACCATGGCAACAGCGCCAGACAAAAAGAGGTCTTCATATTTTTCACCAGCAGAACTGGATGTGCTTATGCAAGCATATGGAGAGTACGAACATATATTTAAAAAAAAAAGCAACACGGCTGCAGCGGCGAAGGACAGAGTTAGCTTGGGAGAAAATAGCTGCTCGAGTCAATGCGTAAGTTTACATTTGAATTACTGTTATACAGTGTTGTGTATAATTAATTTCTATGTAATCTAAAAACTGTAATTTAATTCCGTAATTTAAAGTAAAATCTGATGTAATTGCATTAAATGCTGCATAAACTATAAAGCAATTCTGTATAAAACAATAGTGGATTTAACATCAAATTTTAAAAGATATATTTTTTCAAGAATAATTCATGCAATTGTATAATGTTTATTTGAAAGCATTAAAAGTGCAGTTTCTTGTCTCTCCTTGTATTGTTCAAGTGGTTGAGGTTGATATGGGATTTAGAAAGTAATTAGTAATAAGTAGACCAATACTTTCTAGAGATAGTCATTATTACATTAATCTAATTACACTGTTGAAGAAGCCAGTTGTAGTTAGTAATATAAGTGACTTGCCCAACTGTTATAATATCAGAAGTGAACCTGGAAGAACAGTGTGTTATTCAACCTAATTTTAATTTTCATGTAGGTGCAATCCTGCAGGCATTAAAAGAACATGGCAGCAGCTGAAAATGAAATATAAAAACATAATTCAATCAGGTAAGGCTTGAACATATCATGGTTGTAGTCTACCTGACTTTACAAACATTTGACATATAAATAACTAAATAGCATCCAGTGTCGATTTGATGCGCTCTGCGTGACTGAAATGTGCGCAATGAATGAATACCGAAAGAATGAATGAGGTGATTAAATACCACTTCCTCTTTAAAAAAGGGGAGGAGACGAAATAAACTCTGGGTTTCAATGTTGTCATATCTTGCTATTTCAAAATGTGTGATGGTAAATAATCCCATAGACCTTCCGGTAAAGGAATAGGACATATTTTGAGAATGCAAAAGGAATGTTCATATGTGAGCTTGACTGTACGGCTACGGATCTTGTTACTGACTCATGCAGATTTATTCCTTGAACATTTTAATCGTTTAATGGACCTGGATGCAAGAAGGCAAAAAGCTCTTACGGTGTTGTTTTAAGTTTGTATTTTGACAGAAGAAATAAAAGGAGTAATTTCACAAGCAATAAGTGTCACGTCCTTTCATATATGGGATCCGTCAGTGATGATTGGAAGCATTTCTTTGTAGAACTATACGGCAGAAACACCAGACACACAAAGTTTATTTTTCCTCAGGTCGTCGCTCTGATAAGAAATCCGTCACGAAATTATAGCCGTGGACTAAATGTTTCAGAGCTTGACATTAGCAATAATAAATATAGAGTTGTATAGTCGAGACAACCCTAATGCACGTGTCCGTGGAGCGAGCCGGGCGGCTCCAGGCACGATAACCGAGGGCGGGCAGCTCTTGGCGGACAGTTTGAAACTGTTTTCCGCCAATGAGCAGCGGAGACTCTCTTGTGGAGGCGCGGCTGAGCTCCAGGAGGAGTCCTCCACCAATAAGGAGCCGAGGTCTAAATCAGCGTCACCGCTCCTCAGCCGGTCCACACTTTAAGAGCCGCGTGTCTCTACTCATAGTTCACTTCTATTAACCAGAGGGAGACGAGTCTATCATGGCACGAACCAAGCAAACCGCCCGCAAGTCCACCGGAGGCAAAGCCCCCAGGAAGCAGCTCGCCACCAAGGCCGCTCGTAAGAGCGCCCCGGCCACCGGCGGCGTGAAGAAGCCTCACCGTTACAGGCCCGGTACCGTGGCCCTGAGGGAGATCCGTCGCTACCAGAAGTCCACGGAGCTGCTGATCCGCAAGCTGCCCTTCCAGCGTCTGGTGAGAGAGATCGCTCAGGACTTCAAGACCGACCTGCGCTTCCAGAGCTCTGCTGTTATGGCTCTGCAGGAGTCCAGCGAGGCTTACCTGGTGGGCCTGTTCGAGGACACCAACCTGTGCGCCATCCACGCCAAGAGGGTCACCATCATGCCCAAAGACATCCAGCTGGCCCGTCGCATCCGCGGGGAGCGAGCTTGAAAAGTCTGCTCCTACTAACACCACAACGGCTCTTTTAAGAGCCACCTCACTCTCTGTAAAGAACACATTCCTTCTCGTGACCATTAATTCATGATTTGAGAATAGTCATGGATCTTGGTGATTTGTATCCGTCTGCATTAATGTCTATTTTTAATTTTATAAACATCTCACAGCCTCAACATCTCAAGAATTACTAATGCAATTAATTGACGAATAACAAACCAAATATTGTTGGAATGTGATTTATTAATTTGAAACGGATAACCGGTGACACGTTAGATGTTGTGTAAACTAAAATAGTGTCCCATTTTGTATATAACTACAGATCGTAATAGACTATTTGATGGAAAGTACAATAAGAAGCCGTGCAAACAGTTACCACATTACACACATCGTACAATGAGTTGTATGTATTCTGGCGAATAAGACCTTTGTACATCGAGATTTACATTAGCGTTAATACAGTAAACCAGTCGACAAAACATAGACATTCAGCAGGAGGCACTGCAGAACCACGTTATAGCCCCGCCTTCGTCTTCCATCACGTCCTCAGACTGGCTTTACATATCTGTGAACGGACTTGTGTTCATCATCTTTGTACCAAACCAACCAGTGAACATGAGCGGAAGAGGAAAGGGAGGAAAAGGACTCGGCAAAGGAGGCGCCAAGCGTCACCGTAAAGTCCTCCGTGATAACATCCAGGGCATCACCAAGCCCGCTATCCGCCGTCTGGCTCGCCGCGGCGGAGTGAAGCGCATCTCCGGTCTGATCTACGAGGAGACCCGCGGTGTGCTGAAGGTCTTCCTGGAGAACGTGATCCGCGATGCCGTCACCTACACCGAGCACGCCAAGAGGAAGACGGTGACCGCCATGGATGTGGTCTATGCCCTGAAGAGACAGGGACGCACTCTGTACGGCTTCGGAGGATAAACACAGACTTCTGTTACCAAAACACAAACGGTCCTTTTAAGGGCCACCCACCTTCTCTATAAACGGCTGACTTCCTTGTAAATAACCAGTGTTCAGAACGCTAAGATCTAATTGTTAATATGTGTCCATATCAATACATTACCAACGTACTTCGATGAGCACATCACTGGTAGCTGACTGGTGGTTTTGTCCTGCGTGGCAAAATCATATGCCTCCTTTTGATACACCGAGCTGCCAACTTGCCCAAAGGGGCAGGTGTTAATGCACTCAAGAGACAGTGGTCAGCTGCGTCTGATCTGCCTGATGGCCTCACCTCCACTCCACCAGGTACCCCTTTTCCACGAACAAGAACCAGGTGCTTGTTCGGGTTGCTAAGGAGAAGGCTAGGGAACTAGGTATACTAAATAGGAGTTACTCTCCAGCAGTGGTGCAGCCAGCTGTTCCTCCTTGTTTACTGCCACAGACTGAAGTGGACCTGGGACTACTTGAACTGATGAGATATGAGGGTGGGGGTAAACGTAAGATCTGCAAGTCTTATATCAGGAGGAATTACCATAGCTATATACAAATATATACAGACGGACCCTGAAACTGGTAGAACAGCAGCTGCAGCAGTAATACCAGAATTCCAGTATGAGTCTGGGAAAAGACTCAGTAATGACTTATCAGTGTTTACATGCGAGAGGATGGCCATAGTTTTTGCACTACAGTGGGTAGAGGACGTCAGGCCAGAGAGAGTGGTAATAGCATCAGACTCATGTGCAGTGCTAACGAGTCTGAAGTTTTTCCACTCCAAAAGCAGAGAAGATTTAACGTTCGAAATCCTACAATCCCTATTCAGAACCCATCAAATGCGGATGGCAGTTAGGTTTGTGTGGGTCCCTGCCCGTGTTGGAGTCGAGGTAAATGAGGAGGCGGATAAAGCAACAAAAAGGGCGCTGAAGTGTGGGAGAAATATAGTCGATATAAAGATGAGTAAGGCAGAAGCTAAAGGGGTGATTAAGGGACAAATCAAAACGATATGGCAGAATGAATGGAATAAAGGGAGCAAAGGAAGATATCTGTTTAAAAATAAACCATTGGTTGGGAGTGTAGGAGCTGGTGGACGAAATAGAAAAGAGGAGAGGGTAATGACAAGGCTAAGAAATGGCCATACTGGTCTTAACAGTTCCCTCTATACGGTTGGGAAACATCGAAATGGAAGGTGCGAATACTGTCAAGAAGAGGAAACTGTGGACCATGTTTTGATGGCATGTCAGAGGTACGAGGCAGAGAGAGAAGTCCTGAGAAAGGGGCTAAGAGAGCTGGGAGAGGCAAATACATGCACATTGAGTGTTGTCTAACTTATAACAGAGACAATATATTTGAAGGGATTTGAAATATTTGCAGCCCCGACAGCAAAAGCAATTGAAAGTGAAACATCTTGTGGTGCACAATGCTGCAAAATTAAGATTATGATTTACTGGTGGACATTTCCTAAAAATGTATGTTTAAACAATAGAATGCATTATTAAATATGAGAAAACTGCAACATCTGAACATTCGAAAAAAACAGATACTTGTTTCATCTGGTTGCCATTAGTAAAATACTTTAATAGAGGGAGGTTTTATTACCTCTTACAATCATAATATAATACTGTCAAAATAAAAAACAATAAACAATAAAAGAGTTTGCCTTTTTCAGTGTGAAAAATGCACACTGTCATACTCTCATGATTATTATTCGTTATACTTATACCGGTTAAATTAAGCTTTTTTTGGTAAGTTGCAGGGTTTTTCTTGTTTTTCCTGGTTTTTCTTGTCAGGGGTTTGAACTTTCCAAAGAAGTTCTACAAATATCAAAGAAATCATTTTTTTAAATAAAACATTTTTTTCAGCAAAAGCTTTTTGTCTGCTTTGGTTTTCCTTGCAGCTAGGTAGACACAGTTTAACTGGAGTTTTCACTCCTGTGTAACACATTATATCCATCAGATGGTTGTTTCATCCTCCCTCCGATTGCATCATAATATCTGGTGATTTGGCTTTGTAAGCCCAAACATCTTTGTCTTTTATATTGCTCTACTTTGGACAATGTTTAGGTATCTGAGGCACAATGACAGAGGTGACGAAGGTTGATTATTAATGGTCTAGTTCAGCAGGGGGCGCTATGTGAATAAGATCAAGCCCCGCCTCTGTCTCCTATCACGTCCTCCGACTGGGTTTAAATATCTTGAACTGACCCAATGTGCTCATCTTGTTTCAAACTTATCTGACAATATGAGCGGAAGAGGAAAGGGAGGAAAAGGACTCGGCAAAGGAGGCGCCAAGCGTCACCGTAAAGTCCTCCGTGATAACATCCAGGGCATCACCAAGCCCGCCATCCGCCGTCTGGCTCGCCGCGGCGGAGTGAAGCGCATCTCTGGTCTGATCTACGAGGAGACCCGCGGTGTGCTGAAGGTCTTCCTGGAGAACGTGATCCGCGATGCCGTCACCTACACCGAGCACGCCAAGAGGAAGACGGTGACCGCCATGGATGTGGTCTATGCCCTGAAGAGACAGGGACGCACCCTGTACGGCTTCGGAGGATAAACACCGACTTCTGTTACAAATCAAACGGTCCTTTTAAGGGCCACGCACTCTCTCTGAATAGCTGATGTCCTTGTAAGGAGTTCCTCAGAAAAATGGCAATATTGTTGCATATGTTCTCTCTACCAGTAAGGTAGTGAAAGTTTTCAAAATGTCTGAAACATTTTGTACGTAATACTTTTGCTTTTCCAGAAATATTTCAGAATCTGCATTACCAAATGTATATAACTTATTGAGCCCCATCCCGGTGACGGGGCAATTCTATATTGAAGCCTGACATTGCCTTTGTTAGATTGGTTTCCCTAAGTTTATTGCTGATCACCCTCTCCCGTAGACGTTTTCTACAATTTACATCTGACGTCTATATATATCTTAAAATGAGTACAAGCCAGAATGCAGATTAGGGGGGGAAATGTACTTGCCCATTGAATTAATCCCACGTATCGACCAGTAGTGATGGCAAAGTGAAGCTTTCTGAACCACTGAAGCTTTCCAGCCAATTGTATCGGAAAAAGGTTCATTCATTCAATGCATCGCAAACTATATGACCTCTGCTGTTGAAAACCTATAGTGCATATGTATCGAATAGCCTACCAGTATATTTTGGCCCAGTTATATGTAGGTAATATAATTTAAAATACCTGCAAGTGCTTCCTACTGCATGTGCAGTTCATGGCAGTCATAGGGACCTATGTGAATTGTTTGAATGTGGGAAGTGATTTGCAGAGGAAAGGTCAGTGGGGCGGTGATTGTGCTTTTGGACAGGTTTCTTATGACAGGATATTGAGGTGCTTATGGACACATGGGATGGGACATGACATTATTATTGATTTTTATTGAGAAACAAAATTTTCTTCAGTGTTGGCGTTGAGTCGGTTTCTTTTTGTAGATACTGTTTCCCCAGCTTTAGAAAAAACGCGCTCATATGGCACGGATGAGGCAGGAATGCTCATAAGATGCTAATACAAATAGATCTGGGTACACATGTTTGTGTTTGACCCTGTGACCTTGTGTGCAGGATAAGCGGTGTGAAGATGGATGGTTTTATTGCAACAGTCCAAGTTAGGTATAGTTTTGCTAGATGATTATGCGTAACTCTGGGCTAGGATCAGATGGTTATACGTATAACTACAGAGCTTTAAGCCTTAAGGAATGTCCGCAGAGAAAGACCATGCTTCATGTGCGAGCGAGTGAGTGTTGAGTAGGCTACAGCGGGGAGCGGTGTCAAACTCAATCACCATGGGCAAAAAATAACCTGCCATAAAAATCAAGATACCTGATACGTATGATACCAGAATTCAATCCAACACCACCTGCATGTCTCCGGCAAAAAGCCCACCTGCGATCTCCTGCTGTAAGCAGAATATAGTTGGGTTTGGCGACGTCAGATGCCCGTTGGTGACAGGTGGGCCGGTATTGGGCAAGCCCAAACCCATAGGCCCACCAGGGGTATTCCCGACGGCCAATCCGCCCCTCTGCATGCCAATATCAAGAGGATGTACTCAATCTACTATTGAAACATTTCAGATTGAAGGGGTCTGAAACATTTGTAAATTAGACACTGTTCAGATAGTACATAATCTATATCACATGGACCTGTTTATACAAAAAGTGCAAATTGATCAAAAAGTTATATAATCTAATTACATGTCCATGATTATACCAGTACTCATCTTCAAAAGGGATCTTTAAACAATATATTTCTTTAAATCTATAATATATGGGAAAATGATAGACTGCTACTTGGACTTTTTGGCCGTGCGGGTTTCCAGGCTGCTGTGTTATAACATGTACGTCTAGGTCTGGTCTATGCCCCCAGGCCCTCATCTGGGTCTTAAAGTATACGACTACTTTCATTTGGTGTTTTAACCAAAAATGACATTTGCAATCCTGGATTGTAAGTTTGAACTGTGCAAGAGGAGCTACCATTGAGCAGACTGTAATATCCAGCAACACAATGCTGGCAAATGTGCAACTAAGTTAGACGAGTAAAATAAGCTATGAAGGCCTGGGCTGAATCTTTTACATAATTTATGTTAAATGCTTGAAAATAATGATGATCGGAATAAGCATTCATAACAATAATAAGGATTATGTGGACATTGTTATCAAAATCTAAATTTCAGTGCAGACTTCCTTATTCAGCTGAAAACTATCACAGGTAAAATAAGTAACATTGCAACATTTATGCTTTCCAAAAGAGGCAACATGTTTGAAGATTACAAGTTGAACTAATAAGTGTTTTCAGCAGAGGACATGTCCGCCGAGCAGCTATAAGCCTTCACCGTCATCAGTGTGTTTGCTGCTCCCGGAATAACTTCAGTTTATTACAAACTGATCAACATCCGATGGTTGTTTTCACATTGAGAACCTGAATAAACATGTGGATCAGATGGAAAACGACTTTTGATGGCGATATGATGTTATTTAAATACTTTTAAGAGAGAAATGAGTGGGAAAAGCCGCTGATCACTGCTGTCCACGGCGCTGAGTAGGTGAGGTTTGGAGGCTCCTCAAACAAAACGCATCGATCATCAGAGCTCTACGTGACCTGAACATGAAGAGAAACTAGTCCGCTATCGGCTCCTCCACCTTCAGCCTCCAGCACCTGATGCACATTTAGTTTTTAGTCTTTAATCAGTGGAGAGAAAACACAAGTGACTCGACTTTCAGACTGCACGAGGAGCTCCGGGCTGGGTTGAGTCTCTACGGTTCTCATCGTGCGTTTAAGTGCAGTCCGCTGCTTTGAGCTCTTCATCAGTCTCACTCTCTCGAGTCCTCGACGACACAAACGCACAACAACGGGACAAAATGGCAGAAGTAGCTCCAGCTCCAGCCGCCGCCGCGCCCAAAGCAGCCAAGAAGAAGGCGTCCAAGCCGAAGAAGGTCGGTCCCAGCGTCTCTGACCTCATCGTGAAAACTGTGGCCGCATCCAAGGAGCGGAGCGGCGTGTCTGCTGCCGCCGTCAAGAAGGCTCTGACCGCCGGAGGATACGATGTGGACAAGAACAAGGCCCGCGTCAAGACCGCCATCAAGAGCCTGGTGGCCAAGGGGACTCTGGTCCAGGTCAAGGGGATCGGGGCCTCCGGCTCCTTCAAGATGAGCAAGACCACCGCCGACAAATCGGCAAAGAAAGCCGCTCCTAAAGCCAAGAAGCCCGCGGCGAAGAAGCCCGCAGCGGCCAAAAAGCCCAAAGCAGCGGCAGTGAAGAAAGTTGTAGCCGCTAAGAAGTCACCGAAGAAGGCGAAGAAACCCGCAGCGGCCAAGAAGGTGGCCAAGAGCCCCAAGAAGGTGGCCAAGAGCCCCAAGAAGGTGGCCAAGAGCCCCAAGAAGGTGGTGAAAAAGGCCCCTGCAGCCAAGAAAGCTCCAGTGAAGAAGGTCGCTAAGCCCAAAGCAAAGAAAGCAGCACCCAAGAAGAAGTAAACTGACCTCAGTCTGAAGAACCAACACCTCTATAAAAGGCTCTTTTAAGAGCCACCCACTCCTTCCTCAAAGAGCTTTTCCTTCATTATTCAGCTGTTGAAAATATAGCTGGGATTAATCTTTAATGATTAATCACTATTGTAGCTGAATAACATTTTCAAGGGAAAAGTTGAGTCTGAAATCATCAGAACCTGATAAATGTGCATGAAAATAATGTATATTAGAGCAGTAGATTTATTTTTAGCGTTCTAGAAAATATCAATTGTTCACTGATCAATTGAATTCATTAAATTCCAACAACTGAACAAGTGTGAGCATCTAAAGAAATTTATCAACCAGAGGGAAACTTAGACACTGCTAAAGACAGTGGAAAATGCATGAAATACAAAACGGGAACAAGGAATCAATCTTGTAATTTAGATTTGTTGCCATTAATCCTCATTGCCCGCATATATCTCACCATAAGCATCGATGAGTAGCGAGGATGAGTATCCCAAGTTTTTATGATTCAAAGATCTATGTAACCATTATAACTGCAGTGACAATTGTATTGTATTTAACAGTGGAGGAAATCATCTTACATGTAAGTACCATTGATACCATACCACTGAGCTGCTCGTACTTTACATGAATGTGTTTACATAATATGTACTTGCACTCACATAGAAGACAGTAAAGGGAGATGATCTTATGAAGTTAACCAGTATTAGGAGCTTCAGAATTATAGAGCCTCTTGTTCTTTAGCAAAGCAATAAAGGAGTATATCACTGAAGGCTCCTGTTTAAGTCAGTAATGCAGAAATCTTACCATTCATTTTTAATACCAACATTGCAGAAATGTGTAAAAGCAGATTTAAGGATTCATCAGAGGCAGTCGGGCGGCTGAGGAGCGGTGACGCTGTTTCAGACCTCCGGCCCCTGATTGGTGGAGAACTCCTCCTGGAGCTCAGCCGCGCCTCTAGAAGCGAGTCTCCGCTGCTCATTGGTGGAAAATGATTTCAAACTGCCCGCTAAAAACGGTGAGCTCGCGCCCTCTGTCTTCGTGTCTGGAGCCTCTTCTCTGGTTGGTGCGCGCGTCAGGAACCGTCCCGCCCGCTCCGGGGACATATAAAGGAGGGTTTGACGCGGTTATAGACACTTCCTTCCCTGAAACAGTTTAACAATGAGCGGCAGAGGCAAAACCGGTGGAAAGGCCCGAGCGAAGGCAAAGACCCGCTCCTCTCGTGCTGGACTCCAGTTCCCAGTCGGTCGCGTCCACAGGCATCTGCGCAAAGGGAACTATGCGCAGCGTGTCGGCGCAGGAGCCCCCGTCTACCTGGCGGCCGTGCTGGAGTACCTGACCGCTGAGATCCTGGAGCTGGCTGGAAACGCCGCCCGCGACAACAAGAAGACCCGCATCATCCCCCGTCACCTGCAGCTGGCTGTCCGCAACGACGAGGAGCTCAACAAGCTGCTGGGCGGAGTGACCATCGCTCAGGGCGGCGTGCTGCCCAACATCCAGGCGGTGCTGCTGCCCAAGAAGACCGAGAAGCCCGCCAAGAAGTAAAGCCGGAGACCTCCATCCACCACAAAGGCTCTTTTAAGAGCCACCCACTCACATGAAAAGAGCTGTGATCCTCATACTTTGTCTATTACGTGGTCCTACTTATTAAGGTCATCCTAATAAAGTCACAACTTTATCATTACCTCACAACCGTTTAATGCATCAGGTAGAAAGGACACCACTGCAGCTAACTTGAGAACTTTACAGTTTTAAATCAGACACTTGAGGATGTAGATGGATTTACTTTCATAACCCCCTCATAACATTCCACCGGTCACTCCCCTTCACACTGCACATGTCACTTTAACTGTAATTTATCACTTTGTCATCACTGGTCACTTTACTTGTTCGCTAGTGCACTTTATGCTTAATATGTTTTTTAAACTTTTTTAAATATTTTACATTTTTAACTAACTTTATTCCATTGTTTTATACTAACCCATAGCCTTATTCTACTAACCCATTGCATTAGCATTTTACTTTACTTTATTACTTGTGCACTGCTGTCTTGTTGTCTATTGTCACACTGTCTACTGTCGCGCACCAACCGCCAAGACAAATTCCTTGTATGTTTGACATATTTTGGTAATAAATGTTTCCTGATTCCTGATTCAACATCTGACTTTACTGCCGTATGAATCAGACGCCTGGCAGTTGATGACAAATTCTAAAGATATAATATTCCTTTAGAATTTAAGTTGATGGTAGCATGAGATGTGTAATATAAAGGTTTCAATAACCGGATGCTCTTTTGCAGGGTGTGACAATCAAAAACATGTTTTCTACTTTACGCAACATTTGGATGCTTTTGTATAATAAAGACCGAGTGTCTGACGAATAAGGTAGATGTATTATTCAAGATTTCTTTGTAGAATAGTCTCGCTGAATAAAACTTAAACGTTTTAAAGGATAAAAGCTCTTTAAGGAAGGATTGAGCCTTTAATAGAGGTGTTGGTTCTTCAGACTGATATCAGCTCACTTCTTGGCTGCTGCTCCACATAATTGAGGGAATGTTTTGCTATTTGTGCCTTATCTGCTCCATGTTGAAATAGCTTCACACTTCGTTGACAAACTATTTCCTGATGTGTTTATTTTTTTAAATGGAACAGTATTTATTGAAATGGCCGTAATTCTTCTTAAATTACAATCCGTTATGTATGTTTAATTGAAATGTACATTTTCTCCATTAAAAAACAAATGTTCAGTGATGATGGATGGGCCAAATTCTGGAGTGTGAGCAACATTTGGATGCTTTCGTATATCAAAGAACTGCAGGTGTTGTCTGTGAATGAGTAACATTTATCAGATTTCCTCCGAAAATGGTCTTTAGAAGACATGATAAAATTAAGTCACATGTCTCAAGTTGTAAGCACAATAATTATTGTGCTATTCCTATAATGTGATATCAACAAAGTCGATCTAATTAACTAATTTGACCCGATGATTGATGTTAGGCTACCTTGATTCCTCAAAAATGAATCCTCACTCAAACGTTAATTTAAACTAGACGTCAGTCATCAGGATAATCTGAATATGAATATAAACTATACATGTTTCACAGATCAGTGTGCTAAATGCCAAAAAGTCCTATTAAGGTGCCCTATAATATTTAGTTATGACTAATAGACATGCATTTGTCTCTATTCTGAATGAAAAACAGATGTGTGTCACGTCTTTACACATCAGGAATTGAAGTTTTTGTATATGTAATTATCAACAGGGTGCCCTGTGATTGTGAATGGTTTGTGTGACGGTCATTAGATGATTTCAGTGCATGCAATGATTTATACAACATGATTCTCAACATGCAACTCTGTTGTGAAACGACAAATAAAAAACAATCTTGTGTTAAGTCAAGATCACTAAAGTGATTCAATCTCAATAGAGAAATCCGTTTAGATGCGATGTTTGTGACGCATGCGCAGTATCACGCAGAAGGCAACCAATCACGCTCGAGCAACAGCACAGTGTACTTTGCATCTAGTTCATATATGAGCACCGTGCTGTCGAAATTGAGGCATTCTCAGTTTACAGAGAAGTTTCCAATCATGCCGGAGGTTGTGAAAGCGCCCAAGAAGGGCTCCAAGAAAGCCGTCTCCAAGGCCGTCAGCAAGAGCGGCAAGAAGAAGAGGAAGACCAGGAAGGAGAGCTACGCCATCTACGTGTACAAGGTGATGAAGCAGGTGCACCCCGACACCGGCATCTCCTCCAAGGCCATGGGCATCATGAACTCGTTCGTGAGCGACATCTTTGAGCGCATCGCCGGTGAGGCCTCTCGCCTGGCTCACTACAACAAGCGCTCCACCATCACCTCCAGGGAGATCCAGACCGCTGTGCGCCTGCTGCTGCCCGGCGAGCTGGCCAAGCACGCCGTGTCTGAGGGAACCAAGGCCGTGACCAAGTACACCAGCTCCAAGTAAACCTGATCTAGACCGCCAACACAAAGGCTCTTTTAAGAGCCACCCACTTCTTCTAAAGATGATTTCCTTATGCTTGTATTTAAAAACTCTTTCCTCATGTGTTAGTTTTTAAAATGGAACATTATTTCCTTAAATTATTTATAATTCCATCTGTTATAAATATTAATTTTAAATTGTTTAATGATTTCTTATCAATTTAAAGCACAAACTGCCTTGTTGCCTTAAAAAAATGTGCATCGTCCAACTTATTTCTAGGGAATCTATAAATCTAGGTGAATTTGTTTAATTTAACGGGGGCTCAGAAAGGGCAGGAAGGCAAGGTTGAATATAAATGGAAACACATCAAGGGTGACGTAGACCACCAACACAAAGGCTCTTTTAAGAGCCACCCACTTCTTCTAAAGAACATTTCCTGATGCTTTTTCTTAATATTGAAATGAATAGAAAGTTATCAAAATACACTCAAGCAGAACTGAGAATGCTAGTAATGGTGTTAAAACTGTAATTGTAGGTTGCTCACTCTAACCACTTAAACTAAGGGTTTTCTGCTACGCTGTGCAAGCTTTTCATAAGCAATTGCCACCTAATTCCTGTACCTCCTGTCTGATTCAATGCTTCTGGTTTGAGGTGTATTTATCGAGAACTGCATTTCTTCTGGTATGTAAGAGTAGGGTGATGCCATCAGCTGCGTCAAGCTCCTGTAAAATGTTGTCTTTTTTTTAACAGTCTTGTCATATCTTGCTATTTCAAAATGTGTGATGGTAAATAATCCCATAGACCTTCCGGTAAAGGAATAGGACATTTTGAGAATGCAAAAGGAATGTTCATATGTGAGCTTGACTGTACGGCTACGGATCTTGTTACTGACTCATGCAGATATTCATTGAACATTTTAATGGACCTGGATGCAAGAAGGCAAAAAGCTCTTACGGTGGTGTTTTATGTTTGTATTTTGACAGAAGAAATAAAAGGAGTCATTTCACAAGCAAAAAGTGTCACGTCCTTTCATATATGGGATCCGTTAGTGATGATTGGAAGCATTTCTTTGTAGAACTATACGGCAGAAACACCAGACACACAAAGTTTATTTTTCCTCAGGTCGTCGCTCTGATAAGAAATCCGTCACAAAATTATAGCCGTGGACTAAATGTTTCAGAGCTTGACATTGGCAATAATAAATATATAGTCGAGACAACCCTAATGCAGGAGTCCGTGGAGCGAGCCGGGCGGCTCCAGGCACGATAACCGAGGGAGGGCAGCTCTTGGCGGACAGTTTGAAATAGTTTTCCGCCAATGAGCAGCGGAGACTCTCTTGTGGAGGCGCGGCTGAGCTCCAGGAGGAGTCCTCCACCAATCAGAAGCCGAGGTCTAAATCAGCGTCACCGCTCCACAGCCGGTCCACACTTTAAGAGCCGGGTGTCTCCTCTCAGAGTTCACTTCTCTTAACAAGAGAGAGACGAGACGATCATGGCACGAACCAAGCAGACCGCTCGTAAGTCCACCGGAGGCAAAGCCCCCAGGAAGCAGCTCGCCACCAAGGCCGCTCGTAAGAGCGCCCCGGCCACTGGCGGCGTGAAGAAGCCTCACCGCTACAGGCCCGGTACCGTGGCCCTGAGGGAGATCCGTCGCTACCAGAAGTCCACGGAGCTGCTGATCCGCAAGCTGCCCTTCCAGCGTCTGGTGAGAGAGATCGCTCAGGACTTCAAGACCGACCTGCGCTTCCAGAGCTCCGCTGTTATGGCTCTGCAGGAGTCCAGCGAGGCTTACCTGGTGGGCCTGTTCGAGGACACCAACCTGTGCGCCATCCACGCCAAGAGGGTCACCATCATGCCCAAAGACATCCAGCTGGCCCGTCGCATCCGCGGAGAACGAGCTTAAACCCCCTGATTCTACTCCCAACAACGGCTCTTTTAAGAGCCACCTTCACTCTCTAAAGAACTATTCCTTAACGTGACCATCACTTCATGATTTGAGAAGTCATCTAGTCAAGTCCAAATGAATATCTGCTGATTTAGAGTTCGATCAAGTACTTTTGAGTAGAAAACTTGCCGTTCACAAAATTCACCATGTAACAGATGTGTTTAGGGAATGGTAGAAGTCTACTCAAATACTGATCTTTTCAGCATTTTTTTGGTCCTGCAGAAGACAACAAAACACACATTCGTTCAGCAGGAGGCGCTGCAGAACCACGTTATAGCCCCGCCTTCGTCTTCCATCACGTCCTCAGACTGGCTTTATAAGTCTGTGAACTGTCTCGAGTTTATCATCTTTGTACCAAACCGACCAGTGAACATGAGCGGAAGAGGAAAGGGAGGAAAAGGACTCGGCAAAGGAGGCGCCAAGCGTCACCGTAAAGTCCTCCGTGATAACATCCAGGGCATCACCAAGCCCGCTATCCGCCGTCTGGCTCGCCGCGGCGGAGTGAAGCGCATCTCCGGTCTGATCTACGAGGAGACCCGCGGTGTGCTGAAGGTCTTCCTGGAGAACGTGATCCGCGATGCCGTCACCTACACCGAGCACGCCAAGAGGAAGACGGTGACCGCCATGGATGTGGTCTATGCCCTGAAGAGACAGGGACGCACCCTGTACGGCTTCGGAGGATAAACACAGACTTCTGTTACCAACAACCAAACGGTCCTTTTAAGGGCCACGCACTCTCTTTGAGGAGCTGATTACTGTAATGATGAAAATAGGACATCAAAATCAATGCAGATTCCAATGCATAGTTCTGTTTGAATAATGTGCAGACCTTTTAAGGACCACACACACCTTCTCTATAAACAGTTGACTTCCTTGTAAATAACCAGTGTTCAGAACGCTAGGATCTATTTGTCATGTCATGATTTGAGAAGTCGCTCCATATCAATAAAATACCAACGTACTTCAATGAGCACATCACTGGTAGCTGACTGGTGATTTTGTCCTGCGTGTCAAAATCATATGCCTCCTTTTGATACACCGAGCTGCCAACTTTTCAAAAAACCATGAAGTCAGATTTTGTCGGGGGGTGACCAAAATATTGCCGCGCACGTAGCCACACACGTTGGTGGCTCAAATATCAGGAACTTGGTATTCATTTGGTGTAGTACCCGTGTTGTACCCTGCGTTATTTCATGCATTCTAGTGTATTTTTGGGTCGTATGCCTGAACTTATTCTGATTCATGTTCATCTGCTCATGACTTGTGGGGCCTTCTAGACTTGAGCTGAACATTCAACCAGAAAGCTATTGCTGTGTCTCAATGACTGTCTATGTACCACAATATAGCCTAATTGATAGACCTGTGTTTAACATTTGACCAATTTAGGTTGATTGACATTTTGATTACAATGGTATTCAACTAATTCTTAACTGAAACCTAACCTATATTGTTAATAATTGTATTCTTAAGAGCACTTAATTATTTATGTTCAGCAAAAGATGACAAGTTAGGTAAAAATATTTTTCATTATCAAACAAAAAAGTGCAACAAATAAAGTGCTTAAACAGTAGTCTTTCAAAGCAAAACAATGGATACACATAATATAAATACACATGAATAAAATAACAAACGTAATTTTTTCATTAAGCATTGTTCATTAAGGCTGCTCACAGTGAGCATTCCATTCGCATTTCAACGCATTTTCAGCAGGAAATGCATTTTCTAGTTATTATTATATAAGTTATATATAAGTATGTGTATATAAGTTATTATAATTTCAATGTTTTTTTAATTAATTAATTTATTTTATAGGCGTGCTGCACACAATTATTATTAATATTATTATTAATATAAACAGGCCTACCTATAATTTATAATTTTTCACTCACCTTTGCCAGTGTCAAATGACCCCAACTAAGCAGATGTTTCATACCTTGACAGCTTTGATGTTATTTTTATTTGAAAATAAATAAATGGGATATCTGTGATATTTCAAATTAAAACAAACTGTGAAGACTCGATTACTACTTTTGCAAACCACTAGTAAAGATGAACAAATATGTGCCAGGAATCAAGTGTTGATATAGTAGTGGGGATATAGTAGTGTGGATGGCTGTTCCAGTCCAGTAATTTCTACTACACAATGAGGCCTGCTGGTGGTCATTTTGATCTGGGTCATACAATTCTCTGTTATATAGCTGACCCGGCCCCCCATCACAGTCAGGAACGATAATGTGGCCCCCAGAGAAAAAAGTTTGGCGACCCCTGTTCTACTGAGAGAACCATTTGCAGGGAACCCAAAATCCTTTAACCACTCGGGCAAAAACTCTAGAGATCTCCATATTTCTGTCTCATCACATGCATAATGGGTCCCTGTTGAGGACTACTTTCTTTTTACTTTTACCCTGTACACACCTTTCAGGCGTGTTAAAGTATACTTTTCAGTCCTGAAAATATAGTCGTCACTATAAGTCTTGATTTTCTTTTAACCTGGAAAAATACAAGTTAAAACCCAACAGAACATATTGGTTAATAAATATAAGTCAAGGGCGCAAATATCTGTGTTCAGATTATTTTTATCCGAAACGTAATATTGTTCCTGTCTTCCTGTTATGTCAAGCGTTCCAATTATGCAATTTCAGAGTGTTAGTCTGAATACAATCGTTAATCCACAAATTGCTCCTTTCTTCCTTTGTAAAAAGGTGGATGCTGATGATTGAGATACGCCATAAAACTCAATTGTCATTCTAATTTCATATTATTGCTTCTGAATTGTTTTAGTGTTTTTTGCTCAGAATGGTACTCAATGCATTTTAGGTTCCACACTCATACAAGGTTTGGAACTAACTATTTTTGAATTTTTTCTTAGGAATACTGAACTATTTAACAATAATAATAGTAATGATTAACTTTGATTTTGAGTGTGTTTGTTGATTATAA